ACCGCTGTATTGGGCAAGGTAGTGGCCGATGATACCGGCGACAACCTATTTAAATCGATAACTATGTTAGCGTGTGAAATAGAGAGCAGAATAATTTTATTAATCATATTTGAATACATACCGCACCGCAAACAATTTGCGCGACGCGAAAGACAATGGAGATTAGGCGGGAGATAACAGGCATGTTAGCGATTAGGTGATGTGGAGTCGATGCAAATGCAGGGTCGCCAATAGTATGATGTAGTAGCTGTTGGAGTAAGCACGAAGTAGATAGCTAGCGTCACTGAAGCAGGAACGAGAAGTAAACCGGTAGAATAGCCAGCAAGAAGCGACGAGAAGAAAAAAGATGAGGTGGAGGTGTGATTTAAATAATCGAAATGACGATCAAGCTACTCAGAGGAGCCGATGATCCGCAACACGAATTTTCTTGGGCGAGGAAACACCAAGAAAGACGAGGGGGGGGAATCAATTTCCCTTGCTCATCGACTCCTTTCTGGTAATTCTAGTCTGTTCTGATCACCGGGTCTGCCAGTGACATGACATCGCTCATGAGACTACGATTGGCTAGCCAACAATCTTGCGTCCTGCCCAACGTTCAGTGCGCAACATTCTCCTCAACCAGGCTGGGTAACTGATCGACCCGCTGGCAAGAAGTGGATGGGGATAGGGTGGGAAGTTTCTACAAAGTATAAAGTAAATTTTTTCTTCTTTTCAATTCGGTGTGAAGAAACTAAATTAATTAGTGGTCCTTTTCGATCGGGTGAGAGCGTCACAATGCTACAATGGGCTGTGTTTGCGCCGAGTCCGCAGCTGTAGGTATCCAGTTATCATCCTATGGTCCAGCTTATAGGCAACCATCAAAGACGTGCCACATATAGACTCACTCAGCCACATTCTATACATTTCATCGTATAATCTGCAGAGCGACCTGCTTTAAGGCTGAACCACTCGCTTGAGAAAAATGCTGCTGGAGAATCGTACCTATTGCTATCCACTGGTCCCCATCACTAGGCTATTGTTCCTCTCCACCGCACATCCACCCGCTAACTTCAATAGCGCCCCGACTTTACCCCCTCCGGTTTAGAGGATCGTTGCCAGTCCCTTCTTTTCTCCTAGTGGGTGTGAGTGACCCATGTTTATCCCGCCCTGTGGATGGAGTACCTCGCTGGAGTCAGTCCATCCGACTGTCCATCTATCCGACCGGATGACCCAAGACTTAATAGTCTGATCGGTCACCCATGGAAGGGAAATGGAAAAAAAAAGGGGAGGGTAAAACAACTGGAAAATCAACACGCAAAAGAAACAACCAGAACCGTAAACAGTGGTAGTGGCTGTGACGTCAGGGGAGATGCGTGGCAGCCTAGAACACGTAGTTTAATGTGGCGCTGCCCGTAAAGGTTGTTGTTGTTGTACAGGAACCAGTGGGCACAACGTAGTAGAAGCCATTAATTTGCAGATACTCGGTGATTTCTCCTTACTATAAGCTGCCCTAATATTTACTAACACACCTACGTCATTTCTTCACATTCCGATCGTCTTGAGTGACAGCAGCTGGGACTCCAAGGCCTGGCCGGTAGTCGGGCCCTTCTCACCAGTGGTGGGTGTTGCCTGATCTATCTACTTGCTACTGAAGAACTTCGTAGGGTAGTCTACGAAGTACGTGTTGGCAACAAAATCTAATGACGGAGAACCTAACACTGTTCTAGGCTTCTTTCATTGGTAATATTCTCCGAATTTCACCAACAAGGGGTGATCCTATAAATCGGACAGACCCCGAAGTTCTAGAGTTTAGCGCGTGGAAACCTTAAGTTTACGGCAACCAAAAGGGGCGCAACGCCGGAGATTCTTTCCACGGGCGTTGGCTGTGTCACATGTCACAGCACGCCCTTGGACTAACTATCTAGAAAAGGACACCCCATTTGTGCGTACCCAGCTGGCACATTCCTTGATTGTGATCAATCTATCCTAGCTAAAAGCTAATAAATATATGGTAACGCTTATATACAATCTGCAAACTATACAGTTTAGTTTATCAGCTCATTGGAAACTTTCCAAAGTTCGCGCCCTCTAAGATGCACCTCATAGATCTGACAGCTCTACTAGAATCTTTTGAGGAACCATGATATCTAGATCGACTTTCTGAAAGCGTGTGCTGCCTATACCTTCTGGGATCACATGGTCTATGCTATTGCTATAGATCAGATTGATATGGCCCTGCAGGCCACCCCTATTCTGGAAGATTCCAAAAACTAAATGTGTGCAAACTGCCCCTAGATCGGCCCAGTCGCCTACCACTTCTTGAGAGGATTATGGGGATGACAACGTAATCAAGGCATTCTGAAATATCTGACAACTGCCTCGGGGTCTCTCTCGTCTTCTGCGAGCGAAGATAAAGCCAACTTTCCAACAGAACTGTCTTTAAAGGCTTGATCATGATGGACCGATGGCCGGATTGACCTGCCTGGCCCATACTTGAGGTTACTACTAGCCAGATTTCTACGGGCCCCTGCAGAATTATACTACAGGCAGTGTGACCTGAACCTGAGGCTCTCGACCCGCTTTTGGCAACAACGATCACCAGCAATGTCCATGTTGATAATTCAGCAGAATGCTCCGACAGCGTCAGTTCTGCTCCTTCTCAGTTTTCCACAAACTCGATCTTTGATGTGCATGATCAAGGTTGATAGGTGATGTCGTGTGAGAGACGGATGCCATCCTGCGGTAGACCTTTCGAGGCGGTGTATGGATCAAGGTGTGATATCCCAGAGTCCAAACCGACATGACATACGGCTGGTCCGCAAATATCTGGCTTTGAAAAAGGTGACCCTAATGTTAGCAAACATACCATCCGAATGGAGATAGCGAGCAATATCTGGACAACACTCGGACCAGGACCGCAGCTAACGCGAAGCGCAGACCGAGATCAGCAGCTATTTCATCAGAGCTCAAGTCATCAATGGCATGTGCCTGCTGATGGGAAATCTTCTGAGGGCGTCGGGCTGCCGGACATGGCGACAAAGAATGAATAGAGGGAATATGTACATGGAGGAAAATCGGTCGCGGGCTTCTGGCCGGGAGCCTTAGGATCGAGCACATACTGCCATTGACGGAAAGCATAGCCGCAAGAGGATAGAGACAAATCCCGCCGCATCCTGGCATTAGTATCCAATCGCCTCAAGCGAGCACAGCCTCCAGACTGGAAAGACTGTACGGCTGAGCTGCTAGACCGGGATTATTTGAAACCAACCAATACTGTCCATCTAATGGCCATAATGATCGTCGACGTGCACCAGTTGGTGCCTGCCAGCGCCGCATGGATCATGGTTCGGGCCTTGTCTAATCCCCACTACAAGTGGATACTTGCGGGCGATTCCCCCTCATCACATCAAAGAATCGCCTACACTAACAGGCATCCCAGCATGTTAGTGAGAGACAATTGTCGCACGAACGCGTAGTTGGCACAATGACAGAAACAGGGGTTGCCTGTCACTTTGTCTACTTATTTCCACCGTCATCCCTCGCTGCTCCCCTTCTCCAAACCCCTATCTATGTTTCTGGCATATCCTAACAATCCCAATCCAACCCCATGCCCATCAACATGTCCACTGAAAACCATAAAAGTACCTCACCATCCGGTGTCCTCCTACTAGGCAGCATCCCCCTCTCCTCAACGGAAGAAGTCTTCCACAAGATCCCCGCCGCACTACCAGACCGACTCTTCTCCATTCCCGACGGCGAAACAGGCATCCGCGACCTCTACATCCGGTGGCAAGTCGACAGCTTCCCCAAGGAAGCCATCCACCAATTCCTCGGAGGAACCGACCTACCGGCCGACCACCCCGGCTTCACCCTGAACGACATCAAGCCAACCCGATACGACACAGTCGCGCTCGAATCCTACCCAACCTTCCTCAAGCTCCGAGACCAAAAGATCATCCCCCCGGGAGTCCGCTTCCAAGTCTCACTCCCCCTACCCCTGAACTGCGTACAGGGCCACACACGCGCAGAATTCCACGCTCAACTAGACCCTCTATACGAGCAGCGCATGATCGAGTCAGTCCAATCCATCATCCAGAACATCCCTGCCCACGACCTCGCCCTGCAATGGGACGTCTGCTTCGAGGTCACAGCGCTTGAGAACGAGCGCGGCCGACTCCCAGACCCCTTCTTCAAACCTCATTTCTCGCCCGTGATGGAGGGCGTGCTAGAGCGTATTCAACGTGTCAGCGACATCGCTCTCATCCCCGCTGAAGTCCCGCTTGGATTTCACCTTTGCTACGGGGACCTGGGGCACAAGCATTTCGTCGAGCCGGAGGATCTCGGTCTTCTGGTTGAGTTGGCGAATAATATCTTCGAGCGGATTCAGCCTCGTCCGGTTGATTGGGTGCATATGCCTGTGCCTAAGGATCGGGATGATGTTGCTTACTTTGAGCCGCTGGAGCGGTTGAAGATGGGCAAAGATACCAGGTTGTATTTGGGGGTCGTGCATGCCCATGATGAGGAGGGCACTCGACGGAGAATACAGACGGCTAAGTCGGTGGTGTCTGATTTTGGTGTGGCGACTGAGTGTGGGATGGGACGGACTCCAGCTGAGGAGCTAGACAGCATCCTGGAGATTTCTAGGAATGTTTCTTCGCCGGTATGGTTATAGATTTCGTGCGGTGCGGTGTGGGGCTTTTGTTTGGGCTTTGAGGTACGTAGTGTGTATACCGTAGTAGAGCAATGAGCAATGGAAAATATCGCCTAGTTCTGTGTAGTATGTGGTGAATTATGCGATGAGCATGCTTGGACATTAGGAATCTTTCTTGTTGAAACATTTGTGTCACCCGTTGCTGAGTGGCCAGCGATTTAGCGTACTGATCTACTTGATAATATGCTGTGGTAACATTTTCGCCTGATGGCCGCTAATCATTGCCGTAGCTGACTTTCACCCCATGTAAGGGAGGGGAGCGCACAAGATCTACGTAAATACAGGGAGTGCCCACCAAAGAGCGCACAATGTCCGCTTTAATTCAGAGTCACAGCGCAGCTGTTCACATGGCTATTTTCATATTAGGCTATTGGTACATTGAAAGCATGGCGTTAGAGAACACCACGAGACAGCAAGCTGCCGTTATCAGGATATCTCAATTCGCGTCCCTCGAAAGAAAACAAGACGAAAGATTAACGAGTAAGGGAATCCAGGAGGTAAGACATTAACGAATTAGACCGGCCATTCATCTGTCGTACTACACGTGCTTCCGATCAGCAAGAAACCATTCCATGACGGTGCGGAAAACCCCCTTCGCGCCGCTCTCAACCACGTCCCCATGGCAAGGAATCAAGCGATTGAAATCCCACTTGTCAATCCTGCGGATGGACTCGGTGAAAGCCTGCCGATCTCCACTGGACAGGACATACCAGACGAATCTCTTCTGCCAAGTCGCAGGTGAAGTAGCGGACATCAATGGAGTTACCATCTTGGTGAAAACACCCGACGTGGCGCTCTCCTGAGTTCTGGAGTACTGCTCCCTCGCAGGCAGGTTGAACAAAAGATCCGCCTCGATGAGCGAGCGGGACGGGCGATGGTAGAAGACAAGTTCGCGCGAAGGGTGGCCATGGACATATTCAGTGTCGAATTCTGCGTCGAACTCTTCCGAGATCTTCTGTTTTCCATTGGCGTCCTTTCGGAAAACATGTTCGAAAGGTGCGGAATCCTTGGTTTTGGGGTTGGACTGGCGCTTTTCCCAGAGCCCTTCGGGAGCGATAATGGCAGCATCAGGGAAGGCCTCTTTCCAGGCGGTCAAGTGAATATGATGCTCCATATCCAGAGCTGCAAGGTATTTGACGTTGCCTCCGAGACCGGTGATGGTATCACGCACTTCTTGAGTCAAATTAACAGGAGAGAAGACGGCAAGGGAACCGGTTTCCATTTTGACTATATTCACCAACATTGTAAGATACCATTAGCATGACATGCGCACATTAGATTTGAATCACAATGACACCGGGAAAATGTGAGCCAGAGTAAAAAAAAAGAAAAATGGAAATGAAGTGCGAACCAAGAGTACCACGTCCACCAAACTTGAGCCGACCGAAACGCGCAAATGGCAAGCTTAAGGTAATGACGTTGGAAGTCACATTGCGGATCACCATGACATCTGAAGGATTGACGGGGAAGAGCTGGGGCGCCATGATGAATGTTGTGCGGCGGAGCAGCGAGTTGGTGAAACCAAGCTGCGGATGGGTGAAAGACCACGAGAGTCTAGTGATGTGAGAGTGTGTACAAAAGAAGATAAGGTCGCGATCGATCGGGGAGTAGCTCTGCCTGGGGAATTCACTCGGGCGTAGAGCCTATGACGTAAGGCACCCAGGGCCCGTCTCGTGTTCCCGCAACCAGCAGGAACAATCTGGTGTTACGTGCCTGGTGAATATTTCCGGAAGGCGCTAGCTACCATGATTTACTAAGTATTTACCTAACTCCAACTTGCCAGTCCTCGAGGAAGGTCGGACCATTAATTCTATTTGCATCTCCACATAAGCTGTCAACCACATGCCAATTGTCAGGGACTCAGCTTGGGTGGGGTTTGCAATTGGAGATAAAGTTGGGAGCTTGGCTGTCTTCGAACCAATGACAATTTGGCCAGCAGCACTAGTTGCCCTCCAGGGACCAGTGTTTATCCCTCTGCTGGATGCACAACCTTGGGGACAAGCTCTGCGATTCTAGACTATATGTGGACCACACTCTGTATCTAGTTCATTCAGGACACCCATACGCCGTGACAAAAACCATGCTCAAAATTCATACCAACACCGTTCACACAAAATGGGTATCACGTTATCCACAGACACATAATCAAAGCACTCCCACAGAATATAAACGATACACAACGCACTTCTCCGAACCCATTCAAGTCATCTGGAATTAGCCTTGCCAGGATTGTGCTGTATTTTGCGTCTCTTCCTCCCGATGAGGAATGATGGGGTCTTTGATGTCATAGGCTTGGATCAACTCCTGCCAAGTCTCAAAGTCGAGTGTGAAGATGGCCTGACGCTTCTTAATGCCCTTTCTCTGGGCCTCACTAGGCGCATGAGGTTTTGCCGAATCTGTTTGAGAATGGTCAATTAAATGCTCATATCATCGAGGGTACTGAGCAGGACTCACGCAAAGTGGGCAGGCCCCGGCTATCCACCGCGATCCCGACCAAGCCGTCCCGGACCAAAAAGCTAACGTAGAATAGATTTTCAACACTTTGTCCGAAAGAGTGTGGGTTGATGCAGAATTGGAACAGAGGGACACCTCCATCATCGGCCACATTGTTCCTCGCCATCACCTCTTGCACCGTATCTTCGTCGGGGTCATCTGGCAACTGCGACAATTCTGCCTCCACCACATCTTGCCCGTTGTTTTGGGTTCTAGCCAAGAGTCGATTGATGCTGGCACACATAGTCGTCAAATTCGATGTTTCTTGCCTGTCCAGGTCTTTTTCTTGCAGTTCTTGCGGTGCAACGGCCCGTGCTGGGTCGATTCGTTCACGGGCTCTTCGTACAGGTTGCTGCCGGACACGCTTCTGTACTGAAAGCGGTCCCAGTAGGAAGCCAGGAACTGACGGTCGGGCATTACTGCAGAAACAAGCAGCGCGCCCGAGCCAGTCCCAGTTCATCGCATCACCCTGATCCTCGTCACTGTCGTTGGGGTCCATCTGACTCCTTCCGATACCCGTGCGCCGCCGTTGGGTGCTGGAAGGCATCGAAACTTGGGAATCCGCAGGCGCCCGGCGCATGAAAGAGATACACTTAGAGACAAACTCATCCACATCTATCCCTGCACTAGCATCCCCCAGCACCAACTGTGCCGTCTTTTTGTATGACAGATCTGCCGCTTGAACAAGAAGCCGAGAATCGATGGTTGCGTCAGAAGTCTGCTTGACATTTTCGAAGATGTCGTTCGCTTTCTTGATGGTGTCACGCAGGCCATGGTTGCCAGCCTGTAAATATTCATTCCTAGAGTCTACCATAAACCATGTCAGACTCGGCGGCAAGATACAGAGCCTGAGTCAGCCTTACCGTTGAGGTCCCTCGTCAAATCTCTGAGGCCCTTACGAACTTGTCGCCTTTCGCGGTGGTCTTGATCCGGATCGTAAAACTGATTGGCACTATTCCGTGTCGCCTGCGACGCTACTTGAGTCTGAGTGGCTTGCACATTAGAATCTCTTGCTGATAGTCGAGCTCGCTTAGCTCTACGGGCGTGTGCCATCGTTTGCGGCTGGTTTCTTTTGCTGATCCGTGTTGCACTTGAACTATTCTCCTTGTCGGATGGCGATCCTTGCGATACAGGGTGGTTCGAAGATGTAGAGGAAAGAGAAGGTGCCATCTCTAGCCGCCGGGCAGATATTCTGCGACAACACACCGTGGGGAGGAGGGGTTGACAAAGAACACGATTGGGGCCGCCTCAGGCCGAGTGGCTAGAAGGATAGTAAGACAAAGGACAGATACAAAGAAGTTTCTGAACGAAAAAGAGGTATAAGCAGATGTGTTGCAAATCAGCATGAGCCTACGGGCTCATCGAGTCCCCGATAGCAACCCGTGATATCTTTCTCTCCGGGATATCGCTTTCTTGGTCGCCGAACACAGGCAAACCCACCGAAGCGCGCGTTGAACGCGTGCCACACGTGATCCTGGAGGACCCCGCGTCATTGCTGGGTGTTGCCCCAGGCCTCCCGCCAATCAGCCGCTGCGGCTCCATTGGGTCTCCGGCCGGAGCTTCCCATCCAATGTCACCCGCCGCTCACTTCCCCGGCAACCCAGTCCCGAGTCCTCATTTCATACTTGCAATGAAGGGCGTGTGTTGCATATACTGTGGACACAAATGGCCCTGAGCTAACGATGGAGGCCTTTACCTTTACCGTTTCCACTCAGGTGGACTTCCCAATTCATGTGAAGATGTATGTGTGCCTTGATTTCTGTTGGCTCAACAACAATCGAGCAAGTTGGCTAACTTTGGATGGATATAGTGGCTCGTTGGAAGGGAAGCAGAAACAAGCGCCTTTTTCCCTCCTTCTTAAGCACCCAGAATTGCGCCACATCGGTTCCGCGCAGAATCCCGTCTCCGACCTCTTCGTGACCATCCAACTATGGTCAGATTCCAAAGCCTTGGGAGTGCCTTTGCAGACCTCATATAAGGCCTTCAAGTCCGCTCGAGCCTGGAATGAATGGCTGCAGCTGCCAATATCAATAAAGGATGCTCCCCTCAAAAGTCAACTGGCCATTACCGTTTGGGATCTATCCCCGTTTGGCGGCGAAGGAGTGCTCGGGCACTATGTGCCTTTTGGCGGAACGACTATACCGTTATTTGATGACGAAGGAAAACTGAAGATGGGCAGGCAGAAATGCAAGATATATCGTCACCGAGCTGCGGACGGCTTCTCCTCAACGACAACGCCGTCAACACCGCCTCCGAAACGTCGGAAGAACAACGCCCCAGATCCGCTAGGCCCATCGGAAGAGGAGATGGAGCTAGAACGCATCGAAGTTTTGATCAAGAAGCATGAGATGGGGGAAATACCACGCATTGACTGGATGGACCAACTGGTCTTTCGCCAGCTGGAAAGGCTCAAACTCAATGCGGAGGAAGCTGCAAGGAAACGGGCTGTACGTCTGAAGGCTACGAAACAGAAGCGCTCGGAGCATGGCGGGGATGAGGACGACTCAGATGATGACGAAGTGGACGATGAGAATTTCATCCTCTACGTTGAGTTTCCGCGCTTTGATCACCCCATCGTCTGGTCCGATCATGAGTATCCAGCCCCTCCAATGTCGTCCTACTCCCAAGGTGCGCCTGCAAGTGCAAATCCCACCCTAAAGCCCGTACCGGAAGTTCGCTTTGGTCCGGGAATAGAGGGCGCGGATGGTGGAGGTGTCATCAGAATATACGACCCTGAAGTTGGTCAAACCGGTAATCCATGTGAAGACAAGCATCGGAGACTGATCCGTAGCCATCGGACGGGCATCATGGATCGTGATTTGAAACCAAACCCCAAGATTCGCGATGAACTCAACGTAATCCTGTCATACGAGCCCACGCAGGATCTCACCGCCGAGGAGAAAGACCTCATTTGGCGATTCCGATACTTCCTAACCCGTGAGAAGAGAGCGCTCACTAAGTTTGTCAAGTCTGTCAACTGGAGGGATGTTGGTGAAGCGCATCAAGCTGTCGAGATACTGCCCAAGTGGACCGAAATCGATGTAGACGATGCTCTTGAGTTGCTTGGACCGACTTTCGATAATCCTGCAGTTCGTTCATATGCAGTCGAAAGACTACGCAAGGCTGATGATGAAGAGCTACTTCTTTACCTGCTACAACTTGTACAAGCTCTGAAATATGAAGAACACTCTCACGGTGATGTTGACGACGCCGCCCACGACTCGTCTTTGGCCAACTTCCTTATAGCCCGCGCTGCGAACAATTTCAAATTGGGCAACTACCTACACTGGTACCTTATGGTTGAATGCGACGATGCAGGGCCAGGAACATTATCAGCACAACGTAGACTCTTCGCACGGGTGGAATACTACTTCATGGCAGAGCTGGAGAAAGTCCACCCGGAGCATCGCAAGACCCTCCTGCGCCAAGGTGAACTGGTCACTGTACTCACAAAGATCGCCAAAGACGTTCGGTTCTCCCGCGAGAACCGGGTACTCAAGATTGAACGACTGAAGCAGTGTCTCAAGGATCCAAAAAACGACATGCTACACATTGACCCTCCACTACCACTGCCCCTGGACCCGGAAATCCAGGTCACCGGGTGCTACCCAGACGAAGCAAACGTCTTCAAATCCTCCCTCTCCCCTCTCCAAGTCATGTTCAAGACCTCCGACGGACGAAAGTTCCCCATCCTCTTCAAAATTGGCGACGACCTCCGCCAAGACCAACTTGTCATCCAAATCATCATCCTAATGGACCGACTCCTCCAAAAGGAGAACCTCGACCTCAAACTCACCCCCTACCGCATCCTAGCCACCAACTCCACCGCCGGCGCCGTCCAATTCATCCCCTCGGCCTCCCTCTCCGCCATCTCCGCCAAATACAAATCCGTCCTCGCCTACCTCAAAGTTAACAACCCAGACGACAGCGAACCCCTCGGCGTCCGCAAAGAAACAATGGACACCTATATCAAATCCTGCGCCGGCTACTGCGTAATCACCTACCTCCTCGGCGTCGGCGACCGCCACCTCGAGAATCTCCTCCTCGCCCCCGACGGCCACTTCTTCCACGCCGACTTCGGCTTCATCCTTGGCCGAGACCCCAAGCCGTTCGCACCCATGATGAAACTCTGCAAGGAAATGGTCGAGGGCATGGGCGGGACTACCTCGCCCTTGTATCTTCAGTTCAAGCAGTATTGTTTCACAGCATATACCACGCTGCGCAAATCGGCGAATCTCATCCTTAACCTGTTCAGTCTGATGGTCGATGCGAATATTCCTGATATTCGTGTCGAGCCTGATAAGGCTGTTTTGAAGGTAAAGGAGAGATTTCATCTGGAGATGTCGGAGGAAGAGGCTATTCGACATTTTGAGCAGCTTATTAGTGATAGTGTTAATGCTATCTTTGGGGTTGTGATTGATCGGTTGCATGAGTTTGTGCAGGGGTGGAGGGCTTAGGTGGCTGGCGTGTTTAGTAGTTTACTAGCTCATTCTGCTGTTTCGTTGAAGGGCGGGGGAGTTTATGGCGCATACCACCGATTGAATGGTTCACTGATGAATTGATTGATACCCTGCCTTTGAAGCGGTGGCCTTGTCTATAATAATGATAATATATTGATAGATCTATAGACATTTCCCGTCCCTCATTGTATCTGTACTTTTATGACCAGCTTTCCATCTCATCGTGATCCTCCTTCAAACCACAATGTAATGATCACTTCTCCTCATGATGTCGTGGCGGACCTCCAGCCTCCTCATCATTACGGCCCCAAATCCCCAACTCAACCCACTCATTCCCAGTCCCATAATCACCCCGTCTATCTCCGAGATCACCTCCCCCCAAGTCAACTCCCTGGCTTATCCGCATATCCTCAGTCACGGCAGTATCAGAACCAGACGCATCATGCGAAGTAAAAACCCCTCCCGTCTGTTCAAGTTCACTGCGCAATTTCGCCTCGGCGTCTTCGTCATCTTCTGGTGTCCCCTCTCTACATGCCCATGCGTCTACGAACCGCAGGACCTCGCGGGGCCACCAGCGCTTCATGACGAGAAGACGGAAGGGGACAAGTAGGACGATGAGCACGGGGAAGGCGGGTGCGCCACGGGTGAGGGTGAGGATGAAGATGGCTACGGTTATGATAATTTGGAGAATGGTGTAGAGGTGGATGGGGATGTATGATGGTGTTGGGGGTTCTTCTTCGGGGGTGGTTGGTTGTTGCTGTTGTTGTGGGGCAAGGGATAGTGGGAGGGGAGGGAGCTCGGAGGGTGGTGTGAGGAGGTAGAAGGTTCGGTAGAGGATTGGACTGGTGTTGTTAGTGGGGTTGATTCTTTGTTAGTGTGGTACGGATGGTGGACGGCTTACTTTACTGATAGGCTCTGCTCGCCCATGAACATGAATAGTCCTGCTAGGACGCTTGTTGGGGTCAATCCGAGCACTTTCATGAAGGGCGGGCTGACGAAGAGGAGGATGACGGCTGAGTGGAGGAATGCTGACCAGCGCTGTTCGTAGACGCGCTTCACTTCGTATGTTTCGGTCTTCTCTTCTCCGTCGACTGTGATTGTGCGCTGCTCCTTTTCTGTGTGCATCAGGGATTCGGAGTGGAGGGGAGCTTGGGGGAGGAGTCCGTTGGCAGGGGGGATTCCTAGAATGCCGCATAGTGCTGTTGTGGTGCCGAGGAGGACTATGTCCCAAGCAAAACCTCCTGGTTTCCTGGTGCCGTAGCGATCGATGGTGCAGATGATTGAGCTAACTTCGTGATCGAAGAAAAAGAGCACGGTGATGATGATTCCGGGAAGGATAGCGGCGAACACCCAGGATACAGGGAGATGCCAAAACTCGACGAGGAATCTATCACGACTGGGAGATGTAGGTTTGAATGAGGTGCTGACTGGAAGTGTCATCTTGTCCAGATGGGCTAGTTCTCCAACGTGGGGAAGCCCGATGAAGATGATGATGGAAATCGCAGCAGCGTATTCGGTTAAACCCATCCGGATATATCGATGGAACAGGGGGCGCCAGCTCTCAGCCGTGGATAGGAATATTGCGAGCAGCATCGTGCCAACAGCTCCTATGATAGCGTAGAGGAACGCTGCAAAGGATAGGCTCTCGTGGGCTCTTTCAAGCTCTTGTATAGCTTTATGGAAGTAGATAATGCTGTTGAGAAGCGAGAAGATCTCAGTTGCAAAAGTGGTAACATAGCGCATTGTCCAATCGTGAGCGTTAACTATAGCCAGGACGTAGTGGAGCCAAGCAGAATGGATCAGAGACCAGGCCATAAACGGCAAGAAGGGGATCTATGGATAATCATCAGCCACTGCTGGAACATCCTTCTTGCTCGAGATCTAACCTTGAAGACATCCTCGCATAACGAATAGATGTTCTCAGCAAGAACTGAGAAAGGACCAGTAACACCAAGGATGGTAAGTGGCTGGATTGAGAATCTGAAATGTTGTCAGTCAATGTTGCTTGGTTCCCGATGCTAACAAGCCCTACAGTGAGAAGATGATGCCGCATAGGCCTGTACTGAACACAACCTCAATAGTTCCCCAATTCTGCCCAGTCAGAACATAGAGGTCACTGGCAAAGGTGATACCCGGCAGCAGGTTCGTAAAGAAGACATAGACCGCACTGGCAAAGATCAATTGATTGAAAACAGTCCAGTCGGATACGTATCTGCGGCGCAAGTTCAGAATGTCCTGCTTTATCAAACGAAAAGGCCGTAACGGGCCCCCTGACGACACAGAACCCCGTAGCACCCGGATGGCTCTGGGCGTATGCTTGGAAGGAGTGATGATGGAATGTGCATCTTCATCTTCTTCATCATCGTCCCGGTCAACTTCCTGATTGCGTTGGACATCGCCACGTCTCGGAGACCTCCTTTGCCTACGGGGTCTACGCCGGAGAGAGGAGCTCCGCGTGGAGGGTGGTCGGAAGGCAGATATCAACGGCATTGTTCAGTCATGGTAAAGAGGAGCCTGGCAATGGTGATCTGGAGGGGTTGAAAGTTGGTCTGGCGGGGAACCAGCGATGCCCGCCTTGGCCCTCATGACGTATCATATCCCGATAAGAGGCTCACGGCATCCTCTCCGAACCGCACGGGTGAAGCCGCCCAAGAGCAGGCTAATTGATCATTTCAACTGGGATATTCAGTGTACCGCGATTATCTGAAGTGAATCACCAAGCATGATAAAAGATAAGAAAACACCATTTCATATAGGAGTCACTCTACAGCAGTGAATCCCACCCCTTGTGGGTGCTGCAATATAGCCAAGACCGCCTGGCTCAACAGCCCATCAGAAAGTATTCATCAAAATCAAAGGGTATGTTTTCAAATCATAAAGCAATGTCTACAGGGGTTCCTTTGGGCATTCTAGTAGTTGTCGTCTGTGAGTATGTAGATAGACAGAGGCCGCAGTCCATCGGTACATAACAGCGATCCGCCTTCTTCACCGCCTTTATCAGCCGACAGAATCTCTCCCGCGGAGGAATTTCCTCGCCTCCAATTCCAAGGCAATGCCCTCCATACGGAAACAAGTTTCGCACAGCTCCTTGATGATGCCAGGTGGATAGGAGCTCAAGTCGCTAAAGACACCTTAAACACACAACAACTTTATGGACCGATGACAATGGCAGCCAAGTTCATTCCGCGTCAGGTTTTCCCCAACTATGGGTCCATCCCGAGGTCCTATTTCCTGGGTCACCACAGGGCCGGGCTGAAGAAGATGCAGAACATGCTTTCTTCTATCGATTATGTAGTCGAGTGTCGCGATTACAGGGTCCCCGTTACCTCTATCAACCCTATGTTTGAAGAAGCACTGGGAAAGACACGACGGTTGACCGTCTATACAAAGCGGGATCTGGGTGCTGCATCGGGATCGAATGCGCAGAAATTGGTGAGTAGAATGTCTCAAGTCGAAGGAAATGCTATGAAACAAGAGCGCTAATGTATTCTTGGCACTTTTAGGCGGAGAAGACCATTCGAACCTTCAATAAGAACGGCGCTACATTCTTCGTGAGCTCGTCTTCTCGCGCAGATGTAGGCACAATCTTAAAACACTTGCGGGACGATGCAGAAGGACCAGACAAGCTTGTTGGATGCCGGGTGATGATTGTTGGTATGCCTAATGTGGGCAAGTCGACTCTCATCAATCACCTGCGTAATCAGGGTGTGGGCAAGGCCAAGGCGGTGCGGACCGGTGGCCAGCCAGGTATCACAAGGAAGATCGGGACGCCCGTTAAGATCATCGAAAGAGAAGGTGGCTCCCATGTCTACGTGTTGGACACCCCAGGTGTATTCATGCCATACGTGCCGGATGCAGAGAACATGCTTAAACTAGCTCTGTGTGGCTGTGTGAAGGATTCGGTTATCTCCCCGGTCACGCTAGCCGACTACCTATTATATCACATCAACCTGAATGACGCCGAGGTATATAAGCGATGGTCTGAGCCAACAAACGAGATCGTACCTCTATTGAACAACTTTGCCCGACATGCTGGTCTTCTGGCCAAGGGCGGTATTCCAAACACCGACCTGGCGGCACTGCACTTCATCCAGAAGTGGCGTGCCGGCGACCTGGGCAGATTTATGCTTGATGACCTAAAGGAGGAAGAACGCCGTCTGCAAGAAGGCGGAGAGCGAGAGATACCCACCAGCTATACCCAGGCCTTGAAGGCCGAGAAGCTGGGCAGAAAGCAACCCAAGCTGTAAATAAATAAAGAATCATGTAACATAGATATTTCTCCCATCCATTGTACAAAAGAACGAATCATGTTGGTATCATCAATGAGCTTTTGCCTCCCCTCAGATGCATAGTAGACTTGTTAGAACCGCAGAACGACGTAGGAGAGAGACAAGAATGAGACGAGAAATCATCGTAAACCCTGAACGCCCATGATAGAGACGAAAAAAAGAAAAACAAGTAAAAAGTGAGAAGAAAGCTCGAGTCAGCGCATAGCGCAACAACACGAGGACAAACGCCCCAACAACCGCACAACCTCATGAGATCTTATCCAACAACCTCCTCCTCCGTCGATCAACCAACTCCTCCTGAACCTCATCAAGTGTAGGCAACCTCCACTCAACCCCATCGCCAGCATCACCAGGCAACGGCTCCCACCCATCCTCAACATCCTCATCCTTCCTGCGCAATCTCTCAACAGCCTCCTTCTCCTTCTGCCTCTCATACGCCAGAAGCGTGCCATCCTCCTCATCCAACCCATACCCAAAGTAATTAGCATCGACCTTTTTCGTCGCAATCTCACCACCTCTCCCCTTCCCACCTTCTTCATCATCCTCCTCAGCCGGCCTCCTCCCGCGTCTCGCCGCCGCCTCAAACATCTCCTTCACACCGGGCAACTCTCTCGCTCGTCCAAAATACCGATACCCCTTCCCACCACCCGGTATTTCCCTCCCATCATCATCAAATACCCGTCCGGAGCCTCGCATATAGTTCGGCCCGCCTAGGTTTCGAATCTGCATCTCCCACGTCCACTTCTCCTTCATAAGCTTGTTGATCTCATCGTTCAGATCGCGGATCTGGTAATCGCTTAGACTGAGCTCCTGGATCCGGGAAACTTTGCGTGAGATTTCCTTCAGCACTTGGCCGCGCCATTTCTCGCACATCGGGATCGAGTCAACGGTCGTGATGGCTTTCGGGCGGCGCGTGCGCCCAATGTCGATGATTCCGAGATCCGCGGCTTGTTGGGCCCGGAAACGGAAGAGCATCGATTGGGCTTTTTCGCTGTTACGCGCCTGGTCATTTTGTTAGTTTGGGGGGTGGGTTCTGGTTGAGCTTGACGTTGGGGTGTGGTTGAAGGCGAAGGGAGAAGGCGAGGAGGATTTTTGGGTATCGAGTTGAACAAGATTCGAGGGAACGGTTTGTTGCTGGTTTTGAAGGGGCGATTTGAAAGGGGTTGAGTTGGTGATGAGGGCTTACCATTGTGAAGAGCGGCGCGGGGGATCCCCGTGGCTGATGGAGCTTGGTGGTTGAGAGGATTGAAGTGAAGAATGAGAGACTGGAACGCTGGCTCTCGCGCTCTCTCTTGATCCAAGCTCGGGTGGGTTCGTCCGCCCGTTGACAAGCGAGCGCTAACAGATGCAGCCGCGCGGCTATGGCACCCGTGGTTCTTGGCTGTCAGTCTACCGAGTTTATTGTCTCCCTTGCTGCCAATAATGCAGTGCAATGTTGTTTTGAGTTGTGGTGGCTTACGGCTCACATGGGAAGCTAATTCTGATTTTCTGATCATGTCAGATAGCAGTTGATCAGAAAGGCAAGCAATATTAAGAAATTTGGTTCTGTTAAGCACGTTTTCTGGTACTAGTGTCTATTGTATATTTATGAATCGCTTCAGCAATGATGGAATCGAGGTATAATTGGTGAACAACCACATAAAACAATAACAGAGACTAGAATGCACACGGCTATCCGTTGCATATCATCAAGATGCATCATGAAGCATTAAAACAGATCATATAGCATAGTACACATCAAAATCATTCAAAAGCATAATCCAAGCGCCGCCTTCCGTCAACACTCCGTGGCCATGCAGGGCTGCCATCAAGTCATAGTCGTAATTGGTCGCTCAGGCCCTAAATGAATGTTTAGCGCCTGAGTGTAGTTAGAGCAATGTGCTCAGCAGGATCAACCTGCTAGGTCGTCATAGTCTTACAAGAAGCCTTTGGTGTTGCTAGGCATCCGCTGCGGTATATCGCCTGCTCCATACACGCTGCTCCCTCTCCTGCTTCCGGCGTCACTGAAAGCGCCGACGTGGCTACGTCCGAGGACGCTGCCCCTCTCAACACGGAGCGCTCGCCATCCCTCTAGTTCACGCTCCAACCTGAGAGACTTCTCCCGCTCTTCCCGGAGTTCTCGCTCTGCTCGGCGCACTTGCAGCTGCGTCTCTGAGTCGGCATGCTGAAGCTCCTCAATGTTTCGAAGAAGCCGCTCGATCTTGTCGCGGGCTTTGCTAACGTCGTCATTCAGCTGGGAGTTCATCTTATCACGGCGCTCAATCTGGGATTGCAGGTCTTTGACCGTGCGGTCGACGTTCCGCAACGAACGCTGCTCAGAACTGTGCTTCGCTTCCTGGTCTTCAAGATGGGTCTCCAGCTATTTTCAATGTAGTTAGTATTTTGCAGGGCATTAGATTCATCATTTTCTTGGGGTAACTTACTTCCTTGATTCTCTTGTGTAAGAACCGGACGTCCTGGCTTCCTGATGAGTAGCTCTTGGTCTCCAGATCCACGCAACGAAGTTGAGACTCCTTCAGCTGCTTCTCGAGAGCCGCCTTGTCCTTGAAGAGCTGGGCATTTGTTTCTCTCTCAGCAGTAACTTCCTTCTGCATCTCCGTCGCCAGTGCTTCTGCCCGCCTCATCTTACCGACTGCAGCTGCGGAAACATCTTCCTGTTGAGCAAGCTTGGACTTCAGTTCCAACAACTCACGGTCCATGCTGGCAGCATTGCGCATGGATGGACTCTCGCCCTTGGCTAGGTCCTCCAATCTTTCGCCTGCTTCAGCTAACCGGGTTTCCAGCATCTTCTTCTCCTTCAGCAGCATGTCACGCTCCGCGGTCACATCGTCGACGGAGGTGCGAAGAGTTCTCACCTGCGACAGGAGGGAGACAACCCTGCTCTGAGCTTCGTTATGAGCATTTACTGCCTCGTCGCGAGATGTCGTCACGTCTTGAAGCATAATGTCCATTCGAGCCTTCTCCTTAGCCCAAGTAGAACTGTTCAGGACTTCATTGTCCCACTTGCTCCGCAGGTCTTCAAGTTCTTCACGGAGACGTGAGTTCTCACCGCGAACGTTAAGAACCTTTTCACGCTCCATCTCCAACTCGTTGTTGAGTGTTGTGAACTCGCGCTGATACTTCTGCCTTGTCTGTTCCATCGATGTCTCCTTGTCTTCAATATCAATGGCACGTTGGTTTCTATAGTCTTCAAGCTCATTCTGGAGGCGCTGTTTGGCCTGGAGGGCGCCTTGGAGCTCAGCTGCTTGATCTTCCATCCTGGCCTCAAGCGACTGGGTTTGGCGTTGCAAGTCTTCAACCAGGGCATCCATTTGTTTGCGCTCAGACATTATCTGGGCACAGGTATCCTCGGCCTCCTGGGCCTGAGATTTGGCGAATTGCTCTGCTCTGGTAGCCTTCAGAACTGCAATCTCAGCTTGTTCCAATTTGCTGAAATACTCATCGGCACGGGTCTTGTACAAGCTCATACTGGAAGCTAGATCGGCTGACTTCGACGTCTCCGCATCAAGACGAATCTGAAGGTCAGCAAACTCCTGGAGAAGCTGATCTCGGCTAGCAGCATCCTGGTCCCTTGCAACCTGCAGCTCCTGGAACTCGGAACGAGCGTCACGGAGTTCTACTTCCAGCGTAGCCTTAGCTCTCTTAAGCTTCTCGAACTGAGCTTTGGCGTCGCTGAATTCTGCAATGGCTTCGTTATGCACCTTGAGCAAAGACCTTCTGGACTGCTCCTGCGAGTTAATCAGGTCGTACAGTTCTTCATGCGACTTGGCCTGGACGTCCCGTAGTGAGAGATCGCCTGACCGAATGTTCTTCTCCAAAGCGGAAACCTTCTTTGAGGAGTCATCGAGCTGCTCGTGCAGACGTCCGTTCTCACGCTCAAGCAGCTGCATGCGTCGCAGAGATGGGCTTTCTTCCTGCCACATGTCTCGACCAGGTGCCGCTTGAGAGAGCTGGTTCTGGAGATGCTTGTTCTGCATCTCGCTCATTTGAAGCTTGTTCTGGAGCTCCTCAATCTCGGTCGCCAGATCCATCCGCTTTTGGTAGCCGACTGTGTCCACGGTCCTGTCGGAACGAGCAGAGTCATTGGCCGTTTCGTTGAAGTTAAGTCTGCGGTTCGGCGTTGTAGGAGTGCCGAACTTCTTTGCCAGAACATTGTCGGAGTTCTTTCTGAGATGGGTTGGGGTCCGGGGGCTAGCCACCTGGTTCTGGTCGATTTCCTCCAGCAAGGCGCGTTTAGATGAGGCGTAACGTGCATCCAGCTCCTTCATCTCATCCCCATGCCGACGGCGCATTTCCGCCAGTTGGGCCTCAGCTCGACTATACTTCTCCTCGGTGACTTGCAATCTACTCTGTGTCGTCTGCAGCAGTTGTGCCAGATCAACCTTCTTAGCCAGACTAGGCTGAACCTTCTCCCAGGATTCCGAGTCATCAGACTCGGGCTCCACTACCTTGTGCAGCAACATTAATTGCCGGTGTAGATCATCGATCTCCTTGTTTGCCGTATCCAGAGAGCCTTGAAGCTTGCGCGTATTCGCTTGTGCCTGGGTTCGGAGCTGTCTTTCGGTCTCAAGGTTCCTGTTTGCCTCCGCCAACTGAATGTTGGCAGTGGAAGCAGCCTTTTCCGCATTCCTACTGGCCTTATGTTCCCTAGCAACCTCATGGTTGAGGTCCTCCAAGCTCAAAGAGAGCTTCTCTTTCTGCTTCTCAAGAGAAGTGATGCTGACTTGAAGGTCGCCAAGCTGACGGCTTATCTTCTTGTTGTCTTCTTCGAGCTTCGTCTTCTCTTTCTGAAGAGCAGTTATGCGTAGGCGCGAGTTGTCGCTGGCCCTGGAAGTCGATCGGGCTATGTCGAGATTCTTTTGTTGGATCTTTGTGAGAAGAGCCCGGTTATCATTCTCCGATGCTGTAAGTCTACCCTTGAGCGTCACCAGTTCCCTCTCCAGGCGTTCCTTGTGCTGATCATGGCGAATGCGGAAATTATCTGATTCAGCGATAGCGTGGGTCAATTCTTGGATTCTGGTGGAAAGACGTGACCTTTCAGCTTCTACCTCCTCTAGCTGACGTGCCTTGTCGTCCAAATCTTTCCGCACACTCTCAAGACGCTCGTTGGCCTGCTTCATGATGTTGCGTTCGATGTCGGCCTCTGCGTTTAATCGTGCATCTTCGACCTTCGTGAAGCGGTCCCGCAGCTGAATCAACTCATTTTGGAGTTCCTTGCGTGACTGCTCAGCAGCAACGCGCGCTTCAGTGGCACGACGAAGCGTGTCCTGCTGGATGTACATCTCCTTTTCGATGATAATCTTTGATTCATTCAAGGAAGTGTATTTGTCCTTGAGCTCGGCAAGATTATGCTCGGCAAGCATTTGCACATCGTCACGCGATTGACGCTCCCGGCTCAGATCTGCTTGTGCCTTGAATAGTTGATTCTTCAGTTCCTGGATTTGCTGCTCGAGAAGCTTTCGGCTTTCGCCAGCCTCGGCATCCTCCGAGATCTTTGCCTCCAGGAGCTTCTTGACATCGGCGGCCTCCCGCTCAAGCTGAACCTTCTCTGACTTCATCGCGTCCACCTCGGCTTGCAGTTCTCGCAGGCGTTCCTGCATGCTGCCATGTCGCGTGGTAAGAGAAATCTTCTCCGACTCTAGGTATCGCTTCTCCTCTTCATGCTTCTTAGCATCATTTCGCAGGACAGCCATTTCGCTTTCCTTCCGCCTAAGCATCTCTTCATAGCCTGTGGATGTCGAGGAGAGGTCGGTGATCTGTTGTCTTATTACACGGTTTTCTTCAATGAGTTCTTTGATGTGCTTCTTGGACTGATCCAGGTCTCTCGAGGTCTGGGAGAGCTTAACTTCAAGATCTTGATCGGTCTTCAACAGCTTGGTCTCTAGATCTTGCAGTTTGCGCTCCTTCAAGCTGAGGTGACTCTGCAGCATCTTCATCTCTTGGCCCAGGTCCTTAATCTTGGCATCTTTCTCGACAGCAGAGTTTTCGGCCTCGGCAAGCTTCTT